GGGGCGAGGCGGGTGGAGAGGGAGGGAGGGAGAGAGAGAGAGAGAGAGAAGAAAGAAAGAAAGAAAGAAAGAAAGAAAGAAAGAAAGAAAGAAAGAAAGATGACATATTTATATCTCAAATATAACTTTATCTTTCCTTCAAACTATTTTTGAATTCTAATTATTCACGATATCACTACTCTCAAGATTTCTATCATGCCTTCACACCAAAGCACTGCTATTTAAACCTGGCGTGGTGGCTCACGCCTATAATCCCAGCACTCAGAGGCTGAGGCAGGAGGATCGCTGTGAGTTCGAGGCCAGCCTGGGCTACATAGTGAGTTCCAGGTCAGTCTCAACTACATAGTGAGACCCTGTCTCAAAAAACAAAAACAAAAACAAAGCACTGTTATTTCTTTCCTCACCTGTTACATTTTGTGTTTCTTCACTTCAAGTCTTTTCAAATTCCAAATTTACTACCTGTTCCAAATTTACAAGCCCTTGACATCTCTCACATGAACCAATACAGTAAATTCTTCTATCTCTGGCTCCTTTTCCTCCTGTTTGTAGTCCTTGTTACACATACAGAAGAGCTCATCTTATTTTAAACCATTTTAATAATATTCTTAAATGAGGATAATAATCACAATTATTAACTTACGTTTATTTAGAAAATGACACTGTTTGAAGTCCTTTCACGTGCACTACACAGTAGCTTTCACTGCTTATTTTTTTCCTGGTGCTACGAATTACGCTCAGGGCCTGGAACCAACTAGGCTAGGACCCTGCCCCTGAGTAACACTCCCACAATCCCTCCTTGATTACTGAAGCTCATTTGGAACAGGCTCAGCCACATCCTCTTCCTAGGGCTTCAATCTTCCCATCTCGAATGAAGCTGTAGGTGCCAGGTGACGTCTCTAACACCCATCAGGACACCACTTTATGTCAGATCAAACTAACTAGAAGAAACCCCAAATCTCCAAACTTATTCTAATCACAGAGCACTGTTTTACATAAATCTGTCGTCTGTTAAAACTCGCTAATATTATCTCAAATACAAACAGGAATAAACTTAGTTGTCTCCCAAAAGTATTGCAACAGAAAACCATTTGGAAATATTTCTTTTAAGAGGTTTGATCTGTTCACTATTTGTTTAAATAGCTCTTTAAGGATACAGTCTTGAAATACAGAGCATGGTAGGAAAACAAAAAACTTTAAAAGCAATGTACTGAGTGATTTTAAAAAAAGCAAAGTTTGGGGCCAGGGATTTAGCTCAGTGGTTCTGCTGCCTGCATCACAAGTACAAAGTCCCAAGTTCATTCCCCCCCCGCCAAAAAAGGCACAGTTTTCTTTTTCAATTCAAAGTACTATCTTTTTCTGCAAGTCTTTGATGTAGTGAAATGCTTTTGATGGTAAATGATAGCTTTATTTTATTGCCATTTTTATTAAAGTTATTTAACGTAACCACTCTGCAAATTAAAGAGTTGTGAACATATGAGTCATATACATTTCCTGAGAAGTTTTTACTGGAACATGCAGTCTGGGAATGCGCTTTGTGTTTAGCTTGAATATTATTTTTGAAATAAGGGAAAATTGTAAACGTCTATACTTTGGACTGCTGACTATAATCTTCCAGCTAATGTCTCACCGTGAGAGGAGGCCTCCGCATGAGAAGAATGACTGAAACCCGGGGAAGCCCGACATCCTTTTGTGTGGCCGGAGCAGACTGCAGCAGGCGCGCTACTACTGTTGGCTCCAAGTCCTGCTGCAGCCTCCCAGCATCCACACAGAAAAGCAAGGCAGACTTGACATGATCTAAAAGGGTGGGCTTTGCCCTGTCTTCTATATTTCAGTGGCGGAGGAACAGCAGCCTCAGTAGGACTGGCTGGGTTCATAACAATTTAAATATTTAGTACAGGAAGAAGCTTTAGAGATCATTGAATCCAACCCTTTATCTTAAAGATTTGGCGTTAAAGGCATTGACAAGGGAAGAAATATTAACCAAATCACCCAGCATGCAACTATTAAATTAGGACTCATCGATATGGTCAGAACTCCAAAATCAGTGCTTGCCAATCCAGCTCACTTCCTGTCACCTGGGCAGAGTGTTCAGACTGTATTTGTGCGTAACCTGTAAAATTATGTAGAATGAAGATCCAAGACCCTCACCTCTGCAATCATGGATCGAGACTGTATATGGCACGAGTATCTGATATTTACAAAGTATCTCAGTGTCTCTGAAGAAAATAATGTAAGGTTTTATCCCATCTAATGGAATAGAGTCAGGAAATAGAACATCATATATGAATTTTATTTTATTTTATTTTATTTTATGGGTAGGAGAATCAAACTCGGGTCCTTCTGCTTGCAAGGCAGCTGGCGGTGCCACTGAGCTAAATCCCTGGCCTGTATATGAATTTTACCAAACACGATTTAAAACCCTGAGAAATAAAGGTCTGACAAAAGGAAGTGTCTCGTATGTTAGTGATAAAAGTTGTGTTAAATTGTGGTAAACGTGTGTTACCTCTTCAATCTGTGTGCAATAGTCTCATCACTATTTTACTACCTGAAGTGATGTGGAATATGTTGGCTCAGTCTTAGGACCGTGCCCTGTGTTTGCTTTTGGACTTATTCATCACTGGGCTACACACTTCTGTGAATGCACTAGTTCAGCATTAAGATTTACAGTGTTAGGAAGCAGCACAAACACACATGTGATGTAGTAAACATATCCAGAGGTAGTTTAAACTATCATCAGTTATAACACGCATCTTAATTTCTAAGATGCTAAAATTTGGGGAAAAATTCTTAGGCTTTGGAGTGGGTGAATCAAGGTTGGAAAATACTTCACAACTTTTTTGCCAGCTCCAATCAATCGGCAATAACTTCTGGAGATTTTGAAGCCAAGAAGTCTTGGCTCCACCAGGGCTAAACAAAACTTGGCAGGATCAAGTAGAAATGGTCGATATGGACACAGCATGGGGATTGACAGAGAAAATCACACATATTTGTAGCAGTTTTTGATAAATTAAGAAAGGTAGAAACATGTTGTTGAATTAAATTGGGAGAAAAAAAATCCAACTATGAAGAAACTCTGAGCCCATCCCAATTTTAACCTCAAACTGTATTTAAATTTGAATGTATCCATATGTTTTCCCTCAATACACAGGATTTAAAAAAATTTTCTCTTTACTTTCAGTTCTTATTTCTTAAAATGAAACAATTTATTTTTATTTTCTTTGTCCTAACTCCTCCAAAGGTGGTTAATTACTAATTCACTTTAACTTTCCCACTTTCCCAAAGGCTTTCATTGATTTAGATATAATTGCAAGTTTAGAAACCGAATACTAGCGTCCTCTGTCTATAGCAGCAAAAGTTGCAGCTCAGAGAGCCTGAATATCTTGGCTCCCCAAGATCACACAGTGAAGTTTGTAATAAAGCATGAATTTTATCTCATTCTATGTTTATTCAAGTTAGGGTTTAAAATAGGATTTTAAAACTTAAATAGTACATTCCTAAAAGATTAAAATTAAAACAATTTTTTCAGCTGGTTTCTGCAGTTGTTCTTATTAGTTTTGCTCTTTTACACCATAAACATACCTATTTTTGGTCAAAGAATACCAATCGAGCACCACCTAGGTTGGAAAAATAAATAAAAGTAGGCACTAACCTGTCCACCCTGAGTGAAGACACCTGAAAAAAAGCAGAAAATTCAAGCTCTGTAATTATGAAAGTGCAACAAATGAGTCCCGTCGACCCAGAAAATCCTCAGTATTTGTTCCTGATTCTTGGGCATCTCAAGTAGTCCTGATATGTTTTCTCCGATTTTTATACTTGCCACTTCTTAGTGAGCAGAAGACACTTGGGCCATTATGGTACAACACAGGTAATATGGAAGGGGCAATATTTGTTGGAGGCTAAAGTGGGATTGGAGAAAAATTATTTATGGATCTAAAGATTAATGTGAGAGTTCCGGCCAAGTCAGTAGTTTGCTATAGGAACAATCTGGTCATCTTTTGTTTTTGTTTTTGTTTTGTTTTGTTTTGTTTTGTTTTTTTGGTACCCCAGGGATCAAAATTGGGACCTTGTGCCTGTGAGGCAGGCAGCAGGACCACTGAGCCAAACCCCTGGCCCCACAACCTGGGCATCTTTGGTCTTGCTTTGAGGAAGCTGAATTGGAAAGTCTTCTCTGACACTGAGGTTCCAGAGTTCAGCCCATGCAGCCCCTTCTGAAAGCCTTTGTTCCAGGCAGCTGGGGAGTGTGCCGTCTGTTCACCGAGCTCAGGGTCACTCTTCCACCCTCCCTGCAGATGCTCAGCCTCAGAGACTTGGCCCAAACCCAGACTGGGGAGACCCAACTCCTTCAGTCCTCTATGCCTCATTTCTCCTACATCTCTAAATTCCTTAAAGAGAAAAAGAATTCTTATACAGTAATTTTCCCTCCTTCTTCCTTGTGATTAGTATGTGTAATTTGTGATTAACATAAATCAGCTAAGTGGTTTAAATCACTGGAATAATAAAAATCCCAAATCCAGTACCGGTATGAGTTGCTAAGTTTTGGTCTGCGGCCTTTTCTATGGAACTCCTGGAGCAGAACCTCTCCCACAGAAGCATAAAGGAAGAATGTGGATTAATGCAATCCACTTTCTTGAGATCGGACTTAAATGTTAGCTAACATTTAGGGGAGGACTACTGGAAACACCCCAGAGTCCAGTTTCTGTTAATGGAGTTAAGAAGAGAACAAGACTTTTTAGGTTTGAAGAAAAAGTTACTAATCTTCTCCAGCAATGTTTACCAACCTTATTGATTCATAAATAGCGCATGAGGGATTGTTAAAAATACATTTTCTTAGGACAGTCCACTGAAAACTGTAATACAAATCCAGATAGAGCCTGTGAGTCTATTTTTGTGAAGTCTCTGTAATTTTTTTGGATAGAGAGGATGAAATATTCTATTTTCACTCTATTCTCGACTGCAAATCTGTGATCAGAGAGGAGGGATTTTCCTAATGTCTCACAGATAAAGAGAAAAATAGAGAAGATAATACCCATAATGACTGAGTTTAATTTAGTACTATTTTATTAAGTTTTAATTTGCCAATTGTAAAAGACATTTATTAAACACTTATGCCCCATCTACTATGTTAAGCACTTTATACACATTTTCTTCTTTTAATGCCCCATGTAGAGATAATCCTTGTATAGACCACTTTGTCTATGAAGAAAATGGTGCTAAGAAAGGTCACAATGCTGTAAAATGAAAACACCAGGACTTAAATAAATGTTCTCTTTTAACATTAAAATTCTTAGGAACTATTTCTTCCCTCAAATAATATCTATGTAGTACACATCCTTTGTTAAATTTGGTGTATTTGTTAATCAGGTTTTAGTAAATATAAGTTCATCTTTTTAAAGAGAAGAAATAAAAGAATAGTAATTGATTTTGAAGACTATCTTTGCAACTAAATTTTTTATATTGGTCTATTTTTCATATTTAATCTTGATCCATTTTTCATGTTCAAATGTACTTATTTATGGTTCAAATGTACTTATTTATGTAAGTGTGACTAATGAAGATGGATAAACACTTGGAGACTTAGTTACATCTGATTGAAAATTTGTACATGCTCAGTCATTTAAATTCTTTTATACAGCAAAATGTATTTGTTAGGTTTACACAAAATGATACTTCTTTTATGGAAGGTTCCAGGGATCCGTCTAGTTAGTAACATTTTATACAAGAATGAAAATATTAGAAAATTGAGATTTTTTTTCCAGTCTATACAGACTATTAGTGAAAAAGGTGAAACTACTTTGCTCACTAAAACATGATTAGAAAAATACAGAAGAAAATAGATACAAATGGCTCTGTTCATTGAGATGAACAGATTCAGAAATCTTTTCTTTTCCAGTTGAAAGGCTTTGCCTTGAGGGATGACTAAATTTTAAGCCACTTTAATTGGTAAAACATATGACTCTTGCTCATTAAAGGAGACAAAATTATTCCCCTGCTTGAAGAATGGTGTGGTTGGGCAGTATTGTGTTTTTACATTCCATCACCTCTTCTTAAGAGTTTATTGCAGCAGTGGATTTTGCTCAGTGGTTTGGTGGTCTGCCTTGCAAGAGCAAGGACCCGAGTTAAATCAAACAAACAAACAAAAAAGAGTTTATCACTGAGTTTCCATTTTTCCCCCTTGTTCTAATTTTCATTATTGGAGTCCCTTTATAATAACAAGTAACAGAAAAGTTTTCCTTTGTCTTTTAAAGTCTAGATTTATATTACAAACTATTTAACCCAATTATCCATCCTCCAGACGAGTTATTTGCATCAAAAACAAAATCTGAAAGATCTGGATTCAAATGCCAAATTCTATTTACTAGTTGTGAGTCCTTTGACACATCTTTTAACTTTCATGTGCCACAAGTTTTTCAGTTTTTTATATTTAGAAAGATATATAAATTCTTTGCCACAAATATTAGAGATAATATACAGTAGCTCTTAGTACATGCCTAGAATATAGTGTATGCTCAATAAGTGACATTTCTCTTTACCATTATTACTATAATAATTCCATCATCACAATCATTACCGTCATCCACATGATGATCTCTCAATTGTTCTTTTGTATTCAAATCATTAGACTTTTGAGATACGATAGAGAAGGTCTCTTTTCATCTCCACTTCAGTATAAATATAGAGTCTTAACTTTAAGAAAGAACTCACCTGAGAAAAAGCAGAAAAGAGCCAGAGAGAGGAGCAGAAAGACACCTGATATTTTCATGGTGCCAGTTAGCTCCTCAAATGAAGGTTGCTCTGTTCAGTTTAGGTTCTGTGTCAAGGCACTTAATAGGAAACAGCAAAACACACACTCAGACATATATATAGACAAGGGAAAGGGAGTTGGGATCTCCACCTTCTTTTGTAAAATTCATGTTCTAAAACTACATGCAGTCTCGTACACTTTAAGCATTTATGAAGAAATGCTTCAGACTCCACATCAATCTTAAAAATTAGGACAATTATGTGAGTCGCACCTTAGATCTTATTAATAGAGGATGTCATTTGGTACCAGTAGCCTACATTTTCCTAACAACCAATACATCCTCCCTGCTCTTCCCTCCAAGGCTTCGCTACATGAAAGGGATGATTCACAGAGTAATTCTACCTGCTCCCTATGTCTATTTTCAGACAGGTCCTGCATGTCTGTGGTCCAGATGAGTAACTGTAGGGGAATGGAATCTCTAGGGTGTAACTGTGGTTTCCATAGTCTAAGTCATTCCTGCTATACCTAAGGAGGAGAGGTATTCATTCCTGTCACCAGAGCTGCATCAGAGCAAGCGTTTTCTGGGAAGGGGAAGGAACCAGCTTATTAATTTTTAAATAATTATTGAAGTCTAATGTCAATGGTTTCCAAGCTTTAGTCAAAATGAACAGAAGATGTGGTTTGTACTTTGTTTTAAAATTTCATGATTATTGAATTGAATATTAGAAATGCAAAATATTTACTATTTCTTTATTCTGCAAAGTATAAAAAAGTAGTCAAAATGAAAACTTTAAAGATTCAGCTCCTTGGAAGCATACTGTTCATATAGTGAGATGATTTTTGTAATTATCATAACCAGTTTAATTGCAGAATGGTTTACATAGCTGGACCTCATAACTCTCAGTGTAAGGACCAGACAGTAACAAATAGATGTAGTATTAATAGAAAAGTCTGTCTTGAAATATAAACTTCTGTTTAAAACACCATGCAGACAAACAGCAAGGTAAAATACAGAGAGATGATATAAAACATGCCCAAATGAAAACCCAACACTTGGGAGGCTGAGTCAGGAGGATCGCTGAGAGTTCGAAACCAGCCTGGGCTACATAGTGAGTTCTAGGTCAGTCTCAACTACATAGTGAACCATGTCTTAAACAAACAAACAAACAAACAAAAACCAACAAAAAAAGAAATACCAGTGATAAATATAATCTATCCATAAATAAGCTACGTTACACAAATAAATAATTGGTTTTCTTTTAAAGTAGTAACCTTGAGAAAATATATGCACAGTTACTGCAGTATATTATTCCTCTTATCGCAGGACATTTCTTCACTTTTTGGAAATTACCTAGTTTTAGAAATTTTAATTTGATTAAAATAATTAGAATGAATTTTGTCTTTGAAAATGGAGAGTACATTTACTGAATTTGATAAGCAAAATATGTTTTGATAAAATTAAGCATCACTGTGATAAAATAATTATTTTTTATAGCTTTTCTGAGAAATTTTTAAAACACCTGAACCAGGTTGGGAGTGTAGCTCAGTGGGAGAGGACTTAGCTACAATGCATGAGACCTTCAGCTAATTCTCCCATGCTAGAAAGACAAAATAAAAACAACACCTGAATGTACATGGTAGAGTAAAGTCAGGATAAAGGAGAGAGGAGTCCAAAATACATAAGAGTAGAGAAAAATGTACACTTGACACATACGAAAATGGATTTTAATCAAAGGTAGTATGACATCACGCACAGACACATTCTCTCTCTCTCTCTCTCTCTCTCTCTCTCCCTCTCTGAAAATCCTACAAAAATTTGAAGTTCAGATATTAGACATGAAATACTTTTAAGACTTCGGAGACACTAGTGAACAACCTTAAAACTGTATTCGAATTTTTCTTGAAAGTTTTATGAGAAGAGTCTGGGGACAATTGGAAATGACAATGTGATAAAATGCTTACAGAAGATTATGAAAGTTTCAAATAACAATTCCACAGTTTTGATGACTTTTCACCCCCTTCATTGCTTTCCTTACTAAATGAGAGAATGCAAGGAGCAGTTCATCAAATGTAAACATTATGTAAGCTTCATTACATAGTCCTTCTACTGCACACATCACACCCCAGCTTCGGTGCCTTCTCTTGTGCTGTCTCCTTTCCCGCCGCCTCTCGGGATGGAAGTGCATATGATCACTCTGAGCCAGCAGTTTGGAGCCTCAGCCAGTGTCGCAGCCACTGCTAGTCCTGTTCCATCATAACATCCACGATGGCTTTTCTAAAACTTTCATTTAAACTTCTCCCTCTATGTGCACAGTATCAATTTTGGTAGTTGCTTCTCCTATCTTAACCTTATATCTCAAACTCACTGTTCACCAAAGTCTTACTCTCACTCCCTTCCTTCCTGCCCTACGTCCTGTGAACCCACAAGTATTCTTCAAAGTACTGACAGAAGGAAACAGGGAGAGAAAGAAAGACAGGGAGGGTCTCTCTTTTTCTGAATATTTTCAACTTTGTATCTTTAATATATATGGCACAAGCAACAAATTTTGCTAGCATAAAAAACACAAATTAAGTATAGGCTGTAGATAGTTCTGAGAAAGAAATTTTTATCATACATGTATTTATTTTTTAAAATGCAATATTTTGACTAATCACTTTGACTAAGATTCTGAGACCATACAGAAATTTTCAAGTTTTTTTTAACAACTTAAAGGAAGAGGTAAGAAACTTCCCAGAGGAATCACCTCATCGGCTTATTGTACAAGCAATTTGGATACTAGATGATAATGAAGGAGTTACAGAAAACCATACACAGATTGAAATTCTAGTCTTTTTGATTACAAAGTATATAGCGAGCAGCAATTTGAATTTGCTTTTCTGATATGAAAGGAAAACAGGGAAAGTTTTAAGAATCTTAATATTTGAGAAAAAGTAATTTGTAATTATTGAATCATTTAAAACAAAGGAAAACACAAACAAAACCTTGAAAAATGATATATAAGGGGATAGGGGAGAAGGTGTTATAACTTTTCCTTTACCCCAAATTGCCCAAATTTGGTGAAATGCTTTATTTTTGACATATCTTTTCTCAGATGCATATGTCCTATTCCACCCCAAGTCTTTCACCATTTTTCATAGGTCATGGGTTAGAGACATATTTTCAAAAAGGACAGTCACTATATTAATACAATATTAATACAGTCACTATATTAATATAAAAAGGTACTAGACTGAAATCAAGAATTTTTTTTTCTACAACCCATAATAATTCAGAATGAAGATTGTTTTTCTTAGAACTTTCACTAGACTGTAGAAGTACAGAATCTTTCTGAGGACTGGGTAGGAGATTCAGGAAAAGAAGGAGTTATGTAGTTTTGACTCTATTATCCTGACTTGGTTCAAAGTCCCTGGCTTTTGATAAAGATGCACCATTAGACTCTGCAATGGTGCTCATTTCAGCAACACGTATACTTAAATTGGGTGTGGCGTGGTGAAAAAGACTGGTAATAGCAAGGGATATATCTAAGTATTCATACCCGATGAGAAACACACAAGGTCTCTTATGTATCAGTGAAGATAAGAGAAAGCAGTTAAAATTCAGTCTTTAGTAAACAGACAAATGCTGAGAGAGTTAGAGGAGCTAGCTAGAAGGATTCTGACTCCAAACGAGGAGCCCTAGCACTAAGAGACATTCTAGGGGAAAGCTTAGTGAGAGGCATCCTGTAATTCAGTAGACAGCACATCAGATGGACAATGAGGAGGGAGAAGAAGACCCACACCTCCATGACGCTATGACCACAGCTGCCAGGTTACAAGGCAGCCACTCCTGGAGGGGGGAGATGTCACACCCAGAAACCAAGTGGCCATAAATACTCCACCGGGACCAGCGTCATACAAATGTCATGAAGTTATTATGCCAGAGCCCTCCTGGATGCTGTCTTTGAGAAAAAGAAGCAATGGAAAAGAAACAATGAGAAAGAAGAACCAAAGCAAAACACTCACTAGTATGGGAGTGTTTTGTGGAAGAAACTTACTATGTTTAATATGACCATAGTACTTCCAAGTACACAGAGCAACTAATAACCTGGCAGAATACATTTGCTAAATGGCTGAGCTCTGGATTTTCTGACATTACTGTGAAATGAAGATGATTACAGTTCAAATAAGAAAATTTTATTTACTGACACATAATTCTTAGCTTATATAAAATTTTGGTAATATATTTAGCATATTTAAGTCCAATTGTTTTATCAAAAATAGACTCTGTTTTATCAGAAAAACAAAAATCCTTTAGCAGGCTGAAAGACATTATTGATCTTTCACTTAATACTAAACATGACTGAAAGTTCTCTTAATAAATATTCATACTACCCTTCTATTTCATGAGTCTGTGATAGACATGAACTTTCTAGACTTTGATTCCAGATAGACCTGGGTGGGGCATTCATTCTACTTCTGTCGTATGCCAGATCATTGAGGGCTGGCTGTTAACTATCCTTCCTGAAACTTAGCATTCCCTTTTATTGTTAACTTTGTTTGCAGTGGAAACCCAGGACTTGTGCACACCAGGCAAGCACTCTACCATTGAGCTACACACCCAGTAGCTTTTGAGTTATCTTTCTGCACATGATATGTATTTCACTGACTCGCTTGCACCCTAAATACTTTTTGTCATTTGCTCAGCCTCTCAAGGTTGTTTCGGCTTGACTATTTCATCCCATGAACTCTTCCTCCCAGCTTCATATCAACTATCTAGCAACTGTGACTTCCTGGCATCATCAACATCACTGCAAAAGTATTACATTTTTTAAAAAAGGCTCAGATAAATTTCACCAACTTCTATCCAACATTACTTTAGTGAAATCAATGTTCATATTTTTTTCTGGAAGGGTACCAAATTTCCCACCCTTATGAAGTGCGAAGAGTCAAGTTGGGCATGAACATGCTTTGAGTGAGTCCATGTGGATCATTAGTCATGGTCACCATCTTTCCTAAATGCTTATATCATCGTATTTCCT